GAATGCGTCTCAAAAGCTCGTGAGGGTTGTCCGAGCAAGAGGAGAAGTCGGTGCTGAGGGATTTCTCAACGCACCGATATCCGTTTGCCTCGGGCGTCGAATACCGCACTATTTTGGGAGACGCGATGAGTGATGGGGATTTAGTTCTGTTGCTAGTATTGGGGAAGAGTAATACTCTTTTTTCTGAACGTATGGAAGGTTTGGCTTGCGCGCATTCATATTTGGAGTGAGTTCTTCGGTGCATTAGTAGAGGACCTCAAGGGCCTGGGTGCACCAGCACGTCGTGGAGGACAGCACGCAATGCTGAAGTCGATCCCTGGAGGGCACCCCACCGAGTTGTATGTGGATCGGCTGCAATGGAATACCACACAAATAGTACTATAAAGCATCGGCTGCTGTGCATACCGGCGGTTGGAAAGTTTTTGCTGGTGGACGCCTTTTTCTTTGTGGACTCAAATCCAGTGACGCTGGTTGGGCTGCGGGTAACTACGGCGGGTGGGCACCACATCATCGCCAGCACTGTGAGGCAGTTCACTGAGTGTCTGGCGGCATATTTTAATGGTTGGGAGGAATTATCCCGAGACATGTCGTGGGAGATTATTTATGTGCAGCGCGCAGACAGAACGCCGATGAATGGCTGGCAGCGACGTGGTGTCGTCAATTTAGATAGTGTGAGCGACGATGAAAGCCGTGAAATAGCGGGGTTCTGGAGGGAAGAGATGCACCAGTACCAAGTGTCAATATCATCTGGGGCTTTGGAAGAGACGCAGCTCTCCGAAGTGAGGAATAGCCACGGAAATGGGAAAAGGAATTGGGGAGGGAAGGGGGAAGTTCTGATTTCTGGTAAAAAATAGTGTGGGATATATATATTTTTGGATACTTGTGTGTGCATGCATACGGTGCGGGTGCACCAGAACCATGCGGCAGCACCGCACACGAAGGCCAGGAACGTCCAACGCTATCGAACATAACAATGACAAAAGAAATTAGGGGTGGAGTGGGGTTGTTTGTTTTCTGGTAAAAACGTTGGGTGATTTTCATATAGTATGTTAATTGTGTGTGCGCACACAAGGCATAATTGGAGAATTGCCCCGGCATGAGAGAATCATTGTGGCTGGCGGTGTCACGGTGTTACTGCATTGTCCATTTTCTTCTATTGTGTTCGAAGGTTCATCACTAACAGAAGCATCTTAAAGGGATTGCCGAATAATTTGTATTGAGGAAGTGGTGCACTCTGTGTGACCGCATGGAGTGAGGCGCCGCGTCGTAGATGGATGAGGAATCGCTTCTGCGTGTGGCTCTGTGGGTGATTGCTTGCTCCTTTTGTGCTGTGTGTTGGCTGCGGGGCTGCGGCCGTATCCCGTTGGCCGTGGGATTGAACTGGAGGCGATGGTGGCGTTGGGTCTCTTCTCCTCTTCCATGGCGGGTAGCTGCTGGCGGTGTGTGCGCTTGTTGTGTGGAGGGCCGAATCCTCTCACCCGCGGACTGACGGCACTGCGATGGTGTTTGTGTGTGAGGGCTGGTGTGGAGTCGCCGGCCAGTGTGAGGGCCGTGGCGGTGCTTTTCCCGAGACTGGTGTTTCTTCCATGTGTTTGTGCTGCTTCTTGCCTTTCCCTCGTCACCCTCTCCTCCTGTGTTCCTGCGTGGAGTGGCCGCATGCTCACGGGCCATTTTGATAGTGAGTGCCTCCTGACGGCATCCATCCGTCTCCCTCTCTCACTGTCTGTCCTTTCCTGTTGGGTGTGAGGCGTGCTGCACCGCGTGAGGGCTGGCCCGCACACACCGACGGCCCGCCGTGACTTGCCGTGTTGCTGCTCTATTCTGTGGGCGATGGCTCTCCGTGCCGTCCCTTCCGGATTGTCTTGTGCCCCGCTCTCTGCGTGGGTGCTCTGCTCTAACCCCGCTGACGTGTCTGATGTATTGCCGCTGTCGCTGTCTCCTCCACCTGTTGAACACACACATAGAGGGAAAACAAGCGCGAATCGCCGCTGTGAAATTGTAAGGCACTGAAAGGACCAACAGCACACACACCGCCCACACACACATATTTATGTGCACTCACGTGTTGCTGCAGTGCAGGCACTCCGCACACACAACCGTCGCCGCGTGACCGGATCCTGCGGAAGGAGGAGGGAAGGAAGAGAGAGTGAGCGGCAGAGGCCCAACATGTCCCGGCGTGTGTTTGCTTCCGCGGTGCTGCTCCTCCTCGTCGTGATGATGTGCTGCGGCACCGGTGGAGCTGGGAAGCTGAGGAAAGTAATTCGGTGCAGCTCATTGATTAATTTGAAGGGATGATAATTATTTCTTCTGCTAAATAGGGCGAAGGTAAAAATGACGTGGAACTTACCTTGCTTCGTGCTCCCAGCTTTGTGGGTGTGAAGGGCGGTGTGTTTGCCACCGCTGGGGTTCAGTGCAGGGCAGAAGGCGGAGTCAGCGGCTGTGATGGGATTATGGCGAGGCGGCTGAATTTAAGTGGTGGTCCAATGGAGATCTCGATGGCGGACAACAGTGTCCCTTTTGTGCGATTTCTGGGGGGTGCTGCTGCTACGGATGATAAGGAGGCAGCAGAGATAACGCGGCCCACAACAGTTGTGAGTGGTGGCAACATCTACATGCCTCTTGGGGGCTACGGCAAAACAAGTTCGGACACACAACCGGCTGACGCAAGCAACTGGAGCCTTTTGCTTGTGAGGGGGACCGTCACTGGAGAGGGTGAGAGCAAGAAGTTCCGATGCAGTGGGGCCCATGCGGTTAAACCCGATGCCGGAGGTCGCAATAACTCTCTGAAGAATTTGAATGGTGGAGGAGGTTTGGGTGTTGCGTTTCATGGCGGCACGATTGTGTTTCCCTGCAGGCCACAGGCGGGGATGGAAAGAGTGGTTTACTCGCCGTGCGGCTCACTTCGTCGGATAATAAATGGAGGCTTTCGTATGGCACGACTGGCAGGGGCTGCGGGGATCTATCCGTTGTGGAGTGGGTAGCTGGCAAAAAACTTATTCTGATGTCTTCTTGTGGGGATGGCCAGCACCAACTGTGCATGTCCGATGGGCATGGGACGAGTTGGTATCCAAATCGTGTGTCGATTAATCGCGTGTGGGGCAACTCACATGATAGAAAAGGGTACGGAGTGCAGAGTGGATCCACCACCGCAGTCATTGCGGGCGAGAAGGTGATGCTCGCCGCCCTGCCCGCGTATTCTAAGGACAATGAAAAGGGTCGGCTTCGTCTTTGGGTGACGGGCATTGTGCGTGTGCACGATGTTGGTCCGATATCCCGTGAGGGTGATGACGCTGCCGGCAGCTCCCTGTTGGTGAAAGGGAATAATGACGAGTTGCTTTCACTGTACGAGAACAAAGAGAAGAGCGAGGACGGATCAGACGGTCATTTTGCAGTGCGCGTGGCGGCGGGGCTGCAGCGTGTAAAGGATGTGGCGAAGAAATGGACAGATTTGGAGAGCGCCCCTCAATGATGCAGTCGTACTGCCAAGGTTGGCTGGGCGGCAGCAAATGGCATGTGCACTGGTCCTGTTCCCACCAAAGGGCTGGTTGCCTTTTTGTCCGGCAGCTCAACTGAAACCGAGTGGCAGGACGAGTAACTCGGCGTGGGCGCAATAATAAAGAATACGGCAGCGGCTGTTAATGGAGTGATGCTCAAAGGCGCCGGAGCGGGAGCGCAGTGGCCGGTCGACATGAATGGGCCGACTGTGCCGCACCACTTTGCAAACAGGGAGTTCATTCTTGCGGCGGCGGTGTCGATTCACGAGGTGCCGGAGAGTGGCAACGTCCCTTTGGTGGGTGTGGGGATGAGCGACCCCAACAGCACGGTGCTCATTGGCCTGTCGTACACCCACGAAAGGAATTGGAGCTTTATGACTCCTAGTGACGCTAATCCTGACGAGCCTGCTCTTTTTGACTGGAAACCAAACACGACGTATCAAGTGACGCTTGAAATGAATACGGATGGCTGCTACGTGTTTGTGGATGGGAGGGTATTGTACATGAAGAAGGCGGACGAGGAAAGCTTTGAAACCCTGCTGGAGAAACACAGGATCTCATACCTCTTTATTGGCTGGGGCAGTGCGAGAGGCACGGAGAGCAGCCGTATGACGGTGACCAACGTTATTCTGTACAACCACACAGTGTATTGTGAAGGGTTGGAGCAACTCAATGCAAGCACAGTTCCTATTCCACAATCGGGTGTTGCCAAACAGCAGAGGAAGCACGAGGGTGACCCGAGCTCTGGCAACAGCACCGTCCATTTGTCCGTGTCCCCGGTGCTACTACTGCCTGCTTTGGTGCTGCAACTGTGGGGCATGACGGCTCTGTGCTGAAAAAGGCATGGGGAGTGGAATTGCGACTCCCCGTGAGGAAAAAACTGCTCAGCTTTCCAGCAGCACTTAATTCATTTTGCCGGGGATTTTATTTTTCTGTTTTTTTCTTTTTATTTTTTTGGCGCAGGTGCTTTGTTGGGTTAATAAGCGCCTTCGTGTTTTTTGTTTGCTTTTCTGACCTTTTTCCAAAATCCTTTTTCCCTCAATGTCCGCCTAACAGACACACCGTCATGAGTGACGTGTTTCCTCCTTTTGTTTGCTTCTGCCACTCACACGCGGTGCCGGCCTCACTGCTGTGCGTCCCACGAACCGCACAAAACGGGGATTGGAGGGGCAGGCCGGATGCCGCATGGACTGTGAGGGATGTTGTGTGGGCTTGTGGAACAGTGATATTTTCTGTTTGTGCGGGCAATATGTATGCACGCACCCATTTCCTGTATGCTTTGGGGCACATGAAACGAAACATTCTGCTGAGAGATCTTTTCTTTGTTTTGTTTTGCTTCCAGGGAGTCGTGCGTGGTGTGCGGCGTACGGTGCATGCCTGGCTGCTGCCCTCTCCTCATGTGGTGTGCCCTCTGTGTGTGTCTGCCGCACCTCTCGTCTCCCCTGTTGCTCTCCATGCCCCTCACTGTGCAGATCAGCTCCACACCACTGAACGACCACACTCACGATGATGATGACGTGCCGTCTGCTGTGCGGCCTGCTGGTGCTCGCCCTGTGCTGCTGCCCGTCCGCGTGCGTGACAGCTCAAGACCCCGATTCATCGTCACCTTCTCCGGAGGTAAAAGGTGTGGCCAGGGCGGAAGGGGAAGCAGGTACGCCCGGTCATTCAGTGTCAGGCGATGGGGACAATAATTCGCCAGGTTCAACGGGTAATTCCAAATATCCGGACGTAAAAAAAGAATATGATGATACGGAAGTGTCAAAAAATGATGAGGAGATTAAGGTACAGGCACCAAATACCACGACGACTACCACGACGACGACGACGACGACTACCACAACACAGGCACCGACCTCGACCACCACTACGACACAGGCACCAAGTACTACGACTACAGAGGCGCCAGCTGTGTCGACCACCCGCGCACCGTCACGTCTTCGCGAAATCGACGGCAGCCTCAGCAGCTCTGCGTGGGTGTGTGCCCCGCTGGTGCTCGCCGCATCCGCGCTGGCGTACACCACTGTGAGCTGAAGAGGTGTGTGCGGGCTGTGCGTGCCAGCACTCAACCGCGGGGATTCGTTCGTGTGTGTTGTGGTTCACTGTATAAAATAAGAGGAAATAATGATCTTGTTTTGCTTCACTTGCTTCCGCTGCCGTGTTGTGTGCTCCGCGTTGTGCCCCGCATCCGCCACGTTGAACGCATCGCGGACACACTCATAAGCATGCGCACTGGAGCCCTGTGTTTGTTTTTCTTTTCTCTTTAAGTTCTTTTTTTAATTATTGTTTTTTTATTGCTTTTTAAACTTGTGGTTTGCGGTGCGGTGTGCGAGCTCTGCAATCGTACTGATTCCATCTGTCTCGTGGTGTGTGCGCTGATGCTGCTGGGGTGCTGCCATTTGTTGCTGTGCGTGGTGTACCGGCTGTGTCTATCTTTTTTCTCCCCTCTCTGTTGACGGGGTGTTAGGTTTTGCTGAAGGCTACACGCAATTGACAGGAGTGATGGCGATGATGACTGGCCGTGTGCTGCTGGTGTGTGCCCTCTGCGTGCTGTGGTGCGGTGCCGGTTTTGGGCACGCAAGGGACGAGTACGGAAGTGAGGGTGGAGGAGATGTGTTGACGCGGACGAATAATGGTGGAGGCGACGGAGTGTCTCTAAATGCGGAATGCGGGTTATTATCCACCTGAATTGGACTAATGAGAGCTGTCGAAGCTGCGGACGGCGATGATGCGATGAATGACACATCCTCAGCCCTGGCTCAGCCGGCCACCTCAACGTGGTGCCAGGGTCTAGTACTCTTTGCTAGAGAGGAAGCTAAGCGCCTGCTGCCCATCCGCTGCGCGCGGAGAGGCAGGAGGCGCCGCACAAACGGGTCGGAAGGGCACCAGATGGAGCCATTTACATGGCTGCCCGCGGAGCGGTATTTCTCTCCGCTACTGAATTCCATCGGCGCTTATCAGCGCTATACATACCGTTTGCGTGCCATATGTGACGCGCAACGACAAAAGCTACTGCTAAGCGGAGACATTGAGCAGCACCCAGGCCCCATAGCAGTACTCCAGATGAACGTTTCTTGCCTCACGCCGTCAAAACTCGCAACATTAATGGCGCAAGGAGCAGACATAATAGCCATTCAGGAGACATGGAATTCGTCAGAGCAGATCGCCAGCATGCACACTGGAGATTATGTGCTCTATGCACAGTCGCGCATCGGCAAGGGAGGCGGTGTGGCGGTGCTGGTGCGGAAAACTCTCCGCTCCAAGCGTATACCTCTCACCACCCCCCAGCATGACACCAGCCTTGAAGTGGTGGTGGTCCAGGTTGCTCTGGACCAGAACCGTGATCTCATTGTGGCGAGTGCCTATATGAGACCACCACCGCAAGTAACGCAATCCTTCAGGCGGTTAGTAAACTGCCTTCCAGCCTCGTCGCCGCTCCTGCTGTGCGGGGATTTCAACATGCATCACCCACAGTGGGAGCCATTCTTGGAGACTTTTCCAAGCGAGGTTGCTGCAGAATTTTTAGAACTGTGCACGGATGCGGGACTCACCTTGGTTAACACCCCTGGTGAGATCACGTATGCCCGTGGCACAAGAGAACGATCCTGTATCGATCTGACATGGTCAAAGCATTTGACTGTGTCGGATTGGTCAGCTTCCGTGTCGCCGCTTAGTGATCATTATATGCTGACATTTACGCTGCATCAGGCATTTAAGGATACCATACCTTCGGCACCCCCTTCGGCACCTAAGTTTTTCTACAGTTGGGGGAAGTGCAAGTGGGATTTATTCATCAAGGACTTCGACGCACAACTTCCGGCATACGACTATAAAAAGCAGTCCACCGGCATTAAGGCTTTCAAGAGAGCGCTTATAACTTCGTATCGACGACACTGCCCCCGCGGCATGCACAAGGACGGTCCCAGGCTTTGGGACGACACTCTCATGGAGGCAGAGCGGATGGCTACCGACAGCAAGGCCCGCTATCTACAGTTACCGACGCCCGACCGTGAGGCAGAAATGCAACGGACAAGGAGTCAATTCTTCCTCCTGCTCCGAGAGCGCTTGCGCAACACGTACCTACGTCGCATCAGCAAGTTAAATCCAGGCGAGCCACTCGCATGGAAATACATTTCCGGACAAAAAAAGGCATCACTTCCATCTCCCACATCAATGTTATTAGGAGATGGTCAACACACTTATAAAACAGCAAGGAGAGCAGCGAATGCTCTCAATCGCATCTTTTTTCCATTTCACCCCTCTCACAAGGCAGTTAGGTTTTCCAAAGGCATCAACAGACAGAGTGCATCTTTGAACATTAACGCTTCCTTTCTTTTTGGGCAGCAGAACAACAGCGAGTCTGCCGCTACATCTACTTCAGGTTCTTCACTCTCATCTAGTTCTGAGCCACAGGATAGAAACGAAGCTGCCACCACATCTGGTTTAGTTGCTCATCTTCACTCCCCTCTTGATGCACCTTTTAATCGTACGGAACTGCTTGCTGCGCTACGTAATACGCCGTATGGCAAGGCCCCCGGACCGGATGAAGTCTACAGTGAGGCACTGCGACATATTTCGTCAAAGGGCCTCCGATTCCTTCTTCGTTGCATTAACCACAGCTGGACGACCGGTACGATTCCGGTTGAGTGGAGACGCGCTACCATCGTTCCACTCTTAAAACCCGGCAAGTCGCCGGAACTGCTTGAGTCATATCGACCCATCAGCCTTACCTCCATTGTGAGTAAGGTTGCTGAGAAAATGGTACTGAAGAGATTGCTTTGGGTGTGGACGCCGCACCCCCACCAGTATGCATATCGTAGTATGCGTACCACGACGATGCAGCTGGCACACCTGATACACGAAGTGGTGCATAATAGAAATCATTATTTCCAAGTGAACCTTCTCAAGAAGAGCGGTATTGGCAATCAACTCCACTACAGACCCCATCGGACCCTGCTGGTGTTGGTTGATTTCAGCAAGGCTTTTGACTCCATAGATCATCGAGTCTTCAGTCGCTTGCTGGCTAATATTCCGGGGGTGAATTGTCGAAGGTGGCTTAGAAACTTTCTATGTGGTCGCTACGCGAAGACACGAGTTGGCCACAGACACAGCGATCGGCGTCCCATGCTGCGAGGAGTTCCTCAGGGGTCCGTACTGGGACCGTATTTGTTCTCCCTTTACGCACACCCACTTCTCAATCTGCTGAACAGCTTTGCGGGTGTCACAGCGGACATGTATGCGGACGACCTCTCTATTATCGTTAAGGGGCAGTCCCGGGAAGACGCCATTCCCACTGCCAACATGGTTCTTGGAAAGCTGCATGCGTGGAGTCAGGAAAATGGCCTGGCCATCAACCCGTCAAAGTGTGAAGCTGCTTGGTTCACACTCTCCACGCACACGGAGTCAGATTATGATCGTGAAGGAAGGTGGCCCCTGGTAGTGGCTGGATGTCAAATCCCAGTCATGACCATGGGGGCATCGCGAACTACGAAGCTTCTCGGCATGGATCTCGATCCACGACTGACGCTAAATGTGGCGGCCACCAAGCAATGCGCTGCCACTTCGCAACGGATATCGCAGCCACGCTGCATAGCGCACAAAGAGGCGGGACCATCTCCACATGACCTACGCACGTTCGTCATTGGATACGGTGCTTCCAAAATACGCTATGGCAGCGAGCTCATATGGGCAGTAGCGACGGATTCAGCGAAGAATGAGATGCAGAAGATGCACGCAACACTGGCACGCATTGTCAGCGGAGTTCCGAGCACTGTCGACCCGGAATCCGCGCTACTGGAGGCTAATATGCCGCCGCTCCACGTCCTTTGCCTGCGCGCACGGCTCTCAATATTTGAGAACACACGCGCATGCCAGATGGACTGGATGCGGAGACCCCCGCCTGAGCCACCGCCTCGCGCCGGTTTCCGCATCTCGCCATTATCTCGGGACGAGCTATATGCCTTCGTAGACGCATACACAAAGGACTATGGCATCACCGAGAGCTCACCACGCGAAGAGCGGTTCTTTCGCAGCTCCATTCCTCCCTGGTTTTCGGCCTCCGCTCACCGGGTCACCATCGGTGTGGAACTTCCGATAGACCACTCAATAACTGACGAAGAAGAGCTGATACGGGAAAAGCGCAGAGTCAGCGAAGAGGCTCTAGCGCTGCACAGCCGTCGTTCGTGGATACTTGCGACCGATGGCGGTGTAGACGTTCCTAAGTCAGCAGGGGTTGGAATACTGCTTTCATCCCTCAACTCATCGGAGATAATAGAAAAGGCCAGCATAAACTGCGGTGCACGCCCATGCAGCTACAGGACGGAATCCCGTGCGCTGCTTCTAGCCCTAGAGAAGCTGATGATCCCTCGTATCCGCCACAGGCGTAAAACCCTGCTTGTGGTTACGGACAGTCGGTCTCTTTTAGCGGCTCTAAACAAGGGCCCGCTCAGTCATACCGACTGGACGGAGGATCAGATCTGGCAGCGTCTCTTGACACTGATGCGTGCTGGCTGGTCCGTGCACCTGCAGTTTTGTTACGGACATTGCGGAGTACATGCTAACGAGCCTGCAGATCAGTATGCGACGCAGACTATGGAAAGTGGACAATACACGGAGCAAGGAATCGCACCTTTATGGCATACGGATCTTCTGACATGTTTTACTACCCAGCTCACCAACAAGTGGCGTAGTACCATTCGTCAAGACACTCTTCGCTACTTGCTTTGCGGCACAAGGCCATCAGATCTCAGCGGCAAGGACCTGATCACTCAGGAAGTTCTACACCGTCAGGAACTGGTTCACCTCGCAAGGGCAAGGTGCGGGGAATCCGAGCTCTGGGGTCGCCTGTACTGGGCCGTGAGAGATTGCAGAAACCAATGCCGTTTCCGCAACATCTCACCGGAACAGTCCGCTTTCATGCGCTCTAACGCCGATCCCACTGCACCGGGGACGGACACTGTTCCCCCGACGGCGAGGGAGGAAGACGTCTCTCCAGTAAGGAGACGGACCCTCACACGCCGTCGGAAGGAGAAATG